TATCTATCTATCTATCTATCTATCTATCTATCTATCTATCTATCTATCTATCTATCTATCTATCTATCTATCTATCTATCTATCTATCTATCTATCTATCTATCTATCTATCTATCTATCTATCTCACTTCGGTTTTATCTTACGAGCGTGCGTTTTTGTTTGAGTATGATGACCTCAAAAGGTATACGATGTACTCTGAATTCCCCCTCTATTTTACCCTGCTCACGTATCGACTTACCAAAAATCACGCCTTTCCACATATTTATGCTGATGACGTCTGTTAGAGATTCCTTCCTCTCTCTTTCTCTCTTTTCTCACTCTCTCTTTCTCCCCCCTCCTCTCTCTCTCTCTCTCTCTCTCTCTCTCTCTCTCTCTCTCTCTCTCTCTCTCTCTCTCTCTCTCGCTTGCTCATCCCTTCTCTCCATCTTCCTCTACCCTCCTTCTTTCTTTCCCTCTCTTTTTCTTCTGTATCTCTCCCTCGTCCACTTCCTTCCCTTGACCGACCCCTTTAATGCGGGTGGGTTACAAGATTTACGTATATATATATATATATGTATTGACACGAAGAGGAGAGAAAGATAGATGTGAAAGAGAAATAGAGATAATAAAAGAGTGACCCAGTCAGAGAGACACACAGAGAGAGAGAGAGAGAGGGAGGGAGAGAGAGAGAGAGAGAGAGAGAGAGAGAGAGAGAGAGAGAGAGAGAGAGAGAGAGAGAGAGAGGTGGGGGTGGGGAGGGAGAAAGAGAGAAAGTCCAATATCACCGCTTTTATTTTAGACCACCAAGGGTCTTTAACGTGCGCACCTTGCATACGGGACCTCCGAGATTTTTCGCCCTTGTCCGAGAAAGCTAAGTGTAGATCTTTCCTATCAGAAGATCATGGGTGTGGCTGAAAGACAGCAGTAAGAGGGAGCCAAGGAGTAGCAGTAGAAAGGCTGCCGAAAGAGTCAAGAGCCCGGAGGAGGGGGCAAAGGAGGTGAGGTTGAAAGTGGAGACCAATGCAGACAACAGAACATTGTTAGAGAACAGGAAAGGAGGTCAGAGGAGACAATTTTAGAGAGGAAACTTTTACGGTGGCTACCCGAATTCGAACCCGGGACCTTTGATTTAGAGGCGAAAACCTTAACCTCTAGGCCAGGAAAGTGTGTGTGTGTATGTGTGTGTGTGTGTGTGTGTGTGTGTGTGTGTGTGTGTGTGTGTGCATGTCCGTGTGTCTGTTTGTTCGTTTGTGCGTGTTCTCTCTGCTCGACTGAAAAGGAGCAGTAAAAAAAAAGCCCAGAGAAAAGGCATGAAGCTGAAAAGCATTGTGGGATAGACAGAGTTACATCTATTTCAAAGGCAGCAAAGTTACAACGACGAGGAGCAAAGTAAAGACCCTGATTTAATCCCTCGGCTCGATTCCAAGAGAGCCGTTGGTGTAAACTTGGAGAGCTCAGCGAATGATAAGAGGCGAAAGTAACCGATCCACGCTCTACATTATTCATGGGGAACGCGGCTCGCGAGGCAACATCGTCCCCTCTCCCTGTGATGCAGAGCGATTTAGTTGTCTAAATAACACATGAGAACTCAACGTTATGGCCGGGACTTTGTCACAGGCCAAACTTCCCCCCACGACGAGCAAGCAACATGGAAGGTGTCAAAACCGCGGCTCCCTCATTTTTATACGAGTGTATTCTATCATAGAATCTATCTATCTATCTATCTATCTATCTATCTATCTATCTATCTATCTATCTATCTATCTATCTATCTATCTATCTATCTATCTATCTATCTATCGTTACCCCACACAGCTTCGGTACTGGCGTCTGTGGTATAGCAGTCTGGCGCTTTCTCCCTGGCACGCAGAAGACCCAAGTTCAATTCCAGTGTGTGGAGAATGTGCATCAATACATTGACATGTAATTCCGATCTTTCTGATATGACGTTAAATCCCTCTCAACTTGGGTAGGACCTGACAGGAAAGGTCGAAGATTGCGTTCTAATTGACCTAAATGGTGTCGATGGGTGAGGGTAAAGACACACACATAAAAAAACCCCAGAGTCGGTCAGTTTCCTGCAGTTTATACAGGATAGGTTAGAGCGATGAATTAAAGTACATGTATGCTGTGTGTAGGATCGGGACTGCGCTGGTAGATTGTAGGACAGATTCTTTTTGAAAATTCGTCTTGTATCAGCTGATTGTAGGTAGTGAACACACTTTGTTTTCGTTGCTTCTATCCCTGGATACCTTTGACGAGGTCTCTTTATTAATTTTTCTTACTACTGTCAACACCACTATTTTTGCTCCAGGTTTTCCTGGGTAGGGTTAGTATGTGTATTGCCATTTTTAAAAAGTTGAAACCATACGTTTTGGAATTAGCGGGAAAAACCAGGAAAATTCAACTTCGAGGTGATTCGACAGAGCTGGGGTATTCGAAATTCCATGAGATACAGCCTTCTTCGTCTAGCTTTATTCGAGAGACGGGAAGAGAAAGAGAGAGAGAGAGAGAGAGAGAGAGAGAGAGAGAGAGAGAGAGAGAGGGGGGGGGGGAGAGAGAGGGAGAGCGAGAGAGAGGGAGGGATAGATAGAGAATGTTTTACGGAGCGGGGTTGTTTCAGCACGCGAAACATGTATTTACTAATGTCCTGTCTTGTTGTGTGTATGCGTGAGTGCACCAAACTTTTGTAACATCCAATGCAATTGCAAAAAAACGATCAAGACAAATTTTTCCCTGTGAGACGAAAAAAGACTGTCATTGTCATAAATCGTATACACCAGACAATGGCGCCAAAGTCGACCTTCCCCGGAGCAGCCGCAAAAATGTTTGGTTCGCTTCACACGTCATGATGAACATAATTTTATCGAGTACTCCAGTCTTTGTGCTGGAAAGCACTGTCCACCTCAGCCCAGGTTGGCCTTCACAAGTAGGCTCGAAGCAGCCAGACACCAAAATTATCATAATTGTCACAATGAGTCTAGGCGTAAAGCATTTACTATCGATCAGGCCCACTTAGGAGGAGGCACAAGTACTGTACACACGAGCCCTAAACTTGCTCTCACAGTTAGAGGAATCGAAAATGGACACACAACAAATTACCCGAAAATACGAGCAAACTTTCACACTCACACACACACACACACACACACACACA